TTTGACTTTGATAAGGTGTCTTATGTGCTTTATTGGGTCAAACTGTGGAAAGCTGTAGAAACAGAATAAAATAATACTAGTATGATTGTGTACAAAAGTATCGAGTACACCTGTACCTGTTATCTCCATGTAATTAATGATTTAATAAGGTCTAACATTGATGTTACTGTTCATGTTAACCTGACTGTAGCTCAGTAAAACTACATTGTCTACAGTGCACTTACAGACACTGATGGTCTTACTCTCGATATCGTATTTTTGGAGAAGTAATTTCTTACTTATCTCTTCTATAGTAGTCAAGTTAGGAATGATTGTTTCTCTAATGCCCACATCGATGACTTAGTAGTTTCTTATCAATACATCTCTTCCATCAGCCAGGAGCACTTGGCATGCCAGGGGCTTCTGCTTCTGCTCTATGGCTGCAGATGGGTCATATGGAAAATATTATACTTAGACTTAGACTTTCTTTATTGTCATTCAAACTTGTACTTTACAGTGCAGATAAGAACGAAATTTGCATTTGGCTCGTTGTAGTGCAGGATAAAAACAGCAGCATGTATTTAAATATTGTTGATATTGTCATAGGGCTGGGCAATAAATCGAGTTTTTAAGATATATGGATATATTTTCAAACAAGATATAGGGTAAGACAATATCAATATAGTTTAAGTTGTATTAAAATAACATTATAGAGGTGCCAGGTCACCTTTTTCTCATCTCACTGATGGTCTGTCCCTCTTAACCCTGCTCCTCCTCTCTCTCTCTCTCTTTATTGTATTGAAGGAACATTTTTATTTTATAAAATTACTTTTTAAATTCACAAACAGGTAGTTTATTTTTCCATGTGTTTTCACTCTTAATAAAATACACGGGGCGCTGGTGGCGCAGTGGTTAGTGCGCGCGCCCCATGTATGGAGGCTGTCGTCTCAAGCGGGCGGCCCGGATTCACAACCCACCTGTGGCTCCTTTCCCGCATGTCGTTCCCCTCTCTCTCTCTCCCTGATTTCCGACTCTATCCACTGTCCTATCTCTCCATCGAGTATCGCCATTCAGCTAATCAATATCAAGATATGAGTTTTGGTCCATATCGCCCAGCCCTGTGTTGTCACATAAATATCTTGTTCACACCTCGCTGTTAAGTTTGCTGAATTTGAGATGTGTGTCAAAGCCCTGCAGGTGGGATTTAAAGAGGTTCAATATTTTCTGTTCTTCCCAGCAGACTCTCAAGAACAATCCAATTTATTTGACTTCTTTTTTTTTTTTTTTTTACTTGATAGTCACGTGGTTATGAATGATAACCACAAAAATCCAATTATTATCACTGCAGAATGCCTGCAGCTGTTTTAATATAAAACTGGGACACGACAGTGAGACTCTGTATGGTACCTGTAACATGGTGACTACATGTCGTTCTCCTGTCTTTGTCCAGATAGGAGCCATCCCCAACTTGACGGCTACTAACCCAACTCTGCGGCTCCCTGGCAGGAGGAAAAGGTTTAAAGATAGTTAGTGTGAACAAACATTAGGAGTGTAAATGATGAACACAGAGCTCATTTCTCATGACACCTACCTTCTGTCCACTCATGCCGCTGCCAAGGCTCGTCTTTGAGTGGGTTGAGCTTTTCTGTTGTTTGTCTTCTGATTTCCTCTGCCATACTCTTCCTCATGTACTCCTGGTTGTCCTCTGTGAGGTGTTCTTCAAACCATGTTGTGGTCTTAACTGTCCTAATGCAGCACACCAAACTGGCAGGACTTCAAGAAGAAAAAACAAATCAGGAAATCAGATGCAGGTGTTCACTAGTATGGTTTTAATTTATGTCTGAAGTAAATGAATAACGGCCAGACAAATAAAACTGTGTTGAATCAATACAAAAGTAAACATTACATGCCCACTTATTTAAAGGCAGTTTAGAGCAGCAATAAAAAGTTATTCAACATTGATGTTCCAAATTGCTACACGGGGTCTTCTGCAGGGTAAATAAAAAAGCAATGCCCGGGAAGTGAATTTGAACTAGAGCCCGACCGATTAATCGGCCAGACGATAATATCAGCCGATAACAGCATATCAAGTGACTATCAGTATCGGCTATTTTATTTCAGATTAGATATCTGTGAATGATTAATTAGAATTGAATCATCCATTTAATTTGAGTATCGTTGTATTGCACTCGCAGTTCTCTTCCTGGCTGTCACCAGCAGAGTGTGTTATATATGGATTATAACACACATAAACACCCTCCAGGGTGTCAAGTGGTGATGCATGTACATGTGCAGGTACTTTCCATATCGGGCCCTACTTAGAACCTCCCCAACAACCAGCCCCATTTTCCTGTAACAGAACTTGAGTTCCAAGTCAAATCCCTTGAGTCTGAGCCACTGCTGCACCAAAGCTGGCCTGGCATCTTTACAGCACAATTTGAATTAAAAACACATTTTCAAAAATGTGAAAACGCCGGCTCCTTTGTTTTCTGAAATCAATACAGCAAGATTGGTGTTCGTGTTAATTGGATTGCTATGTACTCAGATACCAGGCTTTCTTGTATGTTAATTTAGTTAAATAAAGTGAACAAGGGTTGCATAAATTCCCACTATGTTACTGAATCAATGCAGTGACTGACATGTCTCTGCTGAAGACAAACGAGCAAGGCTACACTTTCACACGTCGGGCATAATTGTCACTGCTTTAAGATGAATCCAAAAGAGATTCAAAAAAAGTGACAGAGGACTGAATGAATCCTGACAGCAAAATCCTAAATCTGCCCACGACAGCTTTCAGGAGCTGATAACTTATCTCTTACTTTCAGTCTGTGGTTACTTACAGGGTCAGTTTTGTCTTTATATTAATCAGAAAAGAAAAACACAATGTTTCCAAACTAATAACAGATGCCACAGGCCTTCTTTAAGTTGTGCCAACATTGATATAGACAAATCTTTTCAAATAACTATCAAATCGTAAGTAACATTTACATTAGTAAACACATCACTACAGGTACTTCAGATAGCCACAACTTCCACATAAATGATAAAAGTAGCTTTATTCTTATGAAATGACAGGTTCATATAAAATAAAAAGGACAGTTATAGATTCATATTTAAAACACTATTCCTCAAAAGCACCCTAGATAAGATAAGCTGCATGCAAAAGTCCCATCAAGTACATAAGCAGAGCTAGCCAGTTAGCATGAGTTACCTTCCAGCTGCTCGGGGAGAAACGAGTGGAGTTCCCCGCTGCAGAAGAAGACGACAGCTCCACATTGCGCTCTTTAACATATACCTTTTCACATAAATATAAACACTACAGCAGAACCACAAGGACAAGGGTCTCACAACATATTTTGAACCATGCCTTCCTTTTCGTCGCTCTAAATGTCACCTTTGTTACATCCGGTACGTGACAGTAATAGTTCCGTCGCATTGAGGATCATGTCGAAGGTTCCGCTCTCCACCTGCTACTGAATTAGGCAAACTGATTAAACTCAATATTAAAATACACGGTTATTTAAAACTATTAGGTTGATGGATTTATACAAACAATCCAACCTAAACTAAAAGGTGAGTTTTCGGATGCAGTGTTTACCTTGGTCTCAGAATCATTTATCATATAACACAACCCAGTTGTCTTTAATAAATGGAGTTTGCCTTGTTGAAACGCCATTGTGAAGATTACATATCCTGAGCCCTAAAAAACCCCTCAAATAAAACATCACAATGACACATGAAGTGATTATACATGATGCTGTGCAAATAAGCTTCTTTTTGATGGTATCCTGTAACATTGAAAATGTGAAAACAATATTTTATCAACATTAACAAAAACATCAATAACTAATAACAATAATGGTAATACAAATAAAAATGGTAACAAAAACAACAATAGAAATATTAATAAAGTTACTGAGAAGGCTTTCTAAGGTAATCTGCCTTGCAGTGAATATCACAAAATGGTAAGCATAATGTCTGCCACTCCGTTTGTTTGCCTTTTTAAGATTCAACAATAGTAACAATATAGATGTAAATGAATATTAGTAGTATAAGTAATAGTTTTGCATAATAACATAGCTTAATGGTATGGAATATAAAATATGCTTGGGATAGTTATTTTTGGTTAATGCTAAGTTAATGGTTTGGTTTTGTTCTACCCTATAACTGATCATGCTGTCATGTAAGACCCCCCCTCGATGAATTTGGTGCATCTAAAACTGACATCAGGAGGCTAAGTAATTACTGATATGCCTGCCGGAGAATGAGTCACATATTGGAGAGCTCTCTCTGGACAGCCCAACTTTGGTTTTGCCCTAATTAACTATATGGAAATTAGAGAATGAATTTATGTCTGCATTTTAATGTGTGTCTGGGGGACATAGAAAGAGTGAAAGAGAGATGTCGTGGATAAAAGGTGCCTGTGTGCCGAGCCGATGTTATTTGAGTGCGTATGTTATATTTTATATCTAAGTTTGATTCGTTCGTCGATCAAACAGTGCAACACATTAAAAACCTAAAATCTCAAATCTTGAACAAAAAGGAGCAGAAAGGAGAATATGTTATATAATCTGCCCCCTCTTTCAAAGGGAGTGTGTGTGGCACTTCAAAGTATTAGTCTTTTGTGATTTATCTAATCAAAGCAGGGCTGTCCTTGAGATGAACAGAGGGAAAGAAATGTTTGAAATCTAATGTCAGTGGATTTATGCAAAAACAAAAATGGTCTGAGTCTATAGTGAAAAGCAGAGACAGAAGCTGCCAGGCCAGAGAAACATATATTAAATGAACAAGCTGCCACTTGTTCTTTCTTTGTTATATTGGCCAAAACTATATCATACCTAACCCCTTTATTACTCAGAACTGTTCCTTTATCTGTAATCTCATTTTCAAACATAAAGGATTACCTTTAAGGGATCATATTTATGACCCTAAAAAAGTGAATTCCCCCTTTTTTTTAGAACACTAATGTCCTCACAACAAAGTTTAATACTCGTACACAAACAAGTACAGATTACAGTCCAGTGATATAACCAAATTGTCTTTATTATAATCAACATGCAGAATACAGAAAAAACAGTTTTCAGCCCACAGATGAGTGTCTACCACACACACATTTTCTATCCTCCCAAAACTCTTTACAATGTAAGAAGGTTATTAAGAAATTATTACAATTTGTCTGTTGTTCATTTCCATTTAGCAAAATCTCAAATAAGTCTGTAGAAAAAAACCCCAAAACAACCCCCAAAACAACCCTGAATGTCACTCAAATGACAGAGATACTTTATTCTATAACTAGCAAGCAGCTACCGGAGATTGGACATTAGCAGGAGCTGAATTATTCATGCATTTATGCAGTATACTAACAGAGGCGATACCATTCCCATAAATAACATTTGCAATGCTAATTCTAAGATCTTTACAGCTGTGCGATCACATATTTTTGGCTTTTCTTACCCACAGATCTTTACTTGCTAGTTATCTAAATAAGGTAGGAGTGTCATTTCTTTGGGTGGGCTATAGTGGTCTCAGTCCGCATGCTGGTTCAGAAGACTGCTTTTATTTCTATAAACATTTGTCAGATATACAGAAGATAGTAATAATTTCCCAGGTGATGCCTTTGTGGCTGAACATGCAATACTCATCAATGTAGTAGTTCAAATTGTTTCACCAGAACGAGCTAAAAATCTGAGCTAGACTACTGTATGTATGTGTACTTGTATGTGTCTGTGCTTGTGCTTTTGCATGTGTATATGTATTATACAGTACATTAAGAATATATATATGATATATATATATAAGTGTGTTTGTATGATTTTCCATTGTCAGGGGCTGAAGGTCCTTGTGGACTCGTAGTCTGACATACACTTGGGTGTGATGCCTTTAGCGTTGTAGTAATCCACCACCTGGTTGGGGACTTCTGCCAGAACACTCTTAGCCAGTGCAGCTGGCGATGCCTGAAACACACACAGATAGACCGAGAGAGAAACGAGAAGGACACAAGGAAAGAAAAAGAAAACACACATCACCAGCCATGCGTGGTTCAAGGATGCTAGAATTAACTGTTGAGCCTGATGCTGTCGGAGGTCTGAACCAGGGAGAATGATGTAATCAGACAGGCTCATTTGACGGCCTCAAAAAATCCCGGACATATCACCTTTCTGTCTTTATGTAATGCAGCTGGTTTATAGATGTGCCCAACATATTCTATCTATTCCTATACAAAATAAAGCATGAAAGAACTCTTAGATCTAGATCTTACCGTTTAAGCCGCAATGGTGGCTATTGGGAAGTTGTCCTTTTATATTTGTGCCTATATTTACTCTATGGATTCTGCAAGAATTTGAATGTGTTTTTGGGATGTATGAAGGGAGGGGGTTCAACAATGGGACAGCTATTTTTGTACTTCTCTGAATTTGTTTTGGACTTTTCCCTGTCAATGCAGTAAATAACTAAAAGGAACACAAACAAAGACACTAAATCTCTTTTGATGATGTAGGCTGCATTGTTTCGTCTTCAAAACAGGGCAGGTCTTTCTTATTTAATAGAATGTTAAATGTTGTACTCTGTCAAAGAACCGGCGGGCTGAAAACAAATGAACTGGAGAAATGGTAGATGTTTCTTGTAGAGGTACAGTCTGATAATTAAATATTTAGTGTTTAAGCACTAAAGGCATTCCAGTGAACACACACACACACACACACACACACACACACACACACACGCACGCACACACACACACACACGCACACACACACACACAAAAAGTAATTAAGACCAGGGCCCTTGACAGCGAGCACACACTTGCTCCCACAGCGCACACAAACGCTCCCACAGTGGGCACACACTTCAGAATCCTCAAAGTCAGAGGGTCTGTCGTACTCCATCTCACATAATTCCCAGAGACAATGCATCATCAAAGTGAACACCCCCCCCCCCCCCCTCACATTTCCGCCCTCCTATCTACCTGTTATCCTCCCACTCTGCCTGTCACACAGCAGCTCTGTCCTGCTAATCCCCTCTGAAAAGAAACGACAGAGCAGAAAATCACCTCTCCACCTCTGTCACACACTCCCCTGCTCCCTTTTGTCTTTAGCTCTGGTCTCCTGCTGACCCCCCCCCCAACAACTCTTCCTCCATCGTTCTCCTCTGTCTTCTCCTCCTGATTTATTCTTCCCTAACCAAACTCTCTCTATACATACCTCTTGGCCGAAATGTTTCTATATGTTTCACTTCCTTCCTTCACTCTCTTCCTCTTCAGCTGGGATGTAATTGGTTGATTTCTCATCCTGTCACAGACCAAACTCACCATAACTGAGCCAGCCAAACACACCCCGTGAAAGCCAAACAGAATTAATGCTGCGAGAGAGTGAGGGCACCCACACACAAACATTATGCGCACACAAAGTCAGCACACATAATTACAAAAACACACAATGAGGAGAGCGCTGATGTGTTATGACGAGCACACCAAGCATATTACGCCCACACACTCAAAACCAATCGCCCCCTGAATACAGAACACATATCGCCACTATTGGAGAAGAACTTTTTAGTTTTGGTTTGTCTGCACAAAACTATACCTCTTTCAATATCTGAGCATTGCTATCAGGTACTTGGTCTAATTCTTGTTTACCGTGACCACACATTTCCACATATTTCCTCTACATCACTGATGAGCAATTACGATCAACATCTTTTTTTAGCATGTTCATGCAAAGCCAGCATTTTTCAGGCCTGTGGAAAACAATCTAAATCTCAAGCACTGATTATGTTTTAGGATTGTAATCCAACAGCAGATGTCATTTTCCCATTAGCACGTACGAACTAGCAGTAACAGCAGCTTGTGTTGATACCCACTTGGCAAAAAAAAAACAACAACAATGTATGTTCTGACTTAGAGCAAAAAGTAGAGAAAATGGTGAGCTACTTTTTTTGGAGGGTTTTATAAAAATGTTTTTGTTGCAGCTTTTAAAAAGTTTCTTCGGTTCAAGCAGCACAAATATGTAATGGTTACATAGGGTAAAGCCATAGCTCTGGAATTAAAACTATTGAATTCTGCGGTTCACTTTTTAGAAGCTAGCTAGTTCAACCTTGCAGATTGTCATTACTGGAAAAACGGGATTTGTTAAGACTATTTTGCAACAAACACATTAAATGAGACGAGTCGTGAAGTCAGCAAACCGTCTCAGTATGATCAGCTTCATGAATACTGGTGGAATCTGACTTGAATTTACTTTTACTGAATTTCCATTTTTGTTTGTGAGACATTTTGGTGTTCTTTTCTTTCAAAGCTCCTGTCAGGAACTTGGCTTTCATGTTGATTACTGTGGACATGCTGGTAACAGCAAACACTTTGCTGATTTTTCTCTGTCACTTGTTGTGAATCATTGCTGTGTAAAAAGGCTGTTTTATCAGCCTGCTGGCAATCCCCTAGTCTCTCAACTATCCTGTGGAAGCGGTTTCTGGCAATAAAAATAACTATATAGAAATAATCAATCTTTTTACTGATGGTCATATTTGCTGTAGCTCATTAAAAGTGCATCAATACTAATTCTCTGTTTTATTACAAGTTAAAAACTCCTCACAGGAGCTTTAAATGGTAAACTGACTGAACTTTAAGTTTCTTTTATTTTTCATAGGTGTTATTTTAGGTTATTTGATTCTGAAGTGGATCCCAAAGTGTGTGTGCATGGGGAATTGTTTATTATCGAAGGTTATGGCATTGATCACGAGTTAGCAGGATGCATGGAGGATCAGGAGGACTGGCAATGCCGCTGGAGGGCTCGTCTGAGGACGTCCAAGTGAATGTTATGGCATTGTATTCATTGTAATTGACATGAGCCTTGTGTTGACATTGTTTTTCCCAGTAGATGTGTAGGGTGTCTGATTTGCACCTTGTGTTTTATATATTTTTTAAGTTTGTTGCCATGATTTGAAATGTTAAACTTTGCAAAGACTAGATACTATGAACTATGTGATCTATGAACTTACATGTGTCCTGTCCTTTAATGTTGCTTTCTAGGCGGAAAGTAAAGAGCTTCATTATAGTTATGCATGCTTTTAAGAGTAGCAACACAAGGAACAAAAATAGCTGACAAACAGCATTTAGAAACCCCTGCTGCTGCATTCTTATGAACAACCTCATTTGTTTATGTCTTGATGTTGCATGACTTCCCTGGCGAACACGTCACATTTTCTGCCTGTAAATGAATTTCTCAAACCCTGAAGACTTCTCCCCTTCTCCTCCAAACCCCCACTTACATGCTTGAAATCCTTGAAAGGGACGAACTGGACGATGTCACGGAGGACAGGCTCGCCCTTGGGTGAACGCAGGATCCCGTCGTCCCCGTCCAGTATCTGCATGTCTGTGAAGTCTGCGTTGCCCACGCCCACGATGATAACGGACATGGGCAGGTGGGAGGCATGCACAATGGCCTCCCGCGTGTCCGCCATGTCGGTGATGACGCCGTCTGTCAGGATCAGGAGGATGAAGTATTCCTGAAGGGGTAAGATGGAGGGGAACGATTTGTGGGTGAAAGAGCGGGAGGAGGACGTGGAGAAGGAGGAATAGATGTCGGATGATTTTTTTTTACATTTGAAAAGAGGTGAATTTTCAAAAGCTAATTTGAATAAAACTCATTCTGATCCAGCAGAAAGCCAGAGGGGAGCAGGAAGCATTAAGGCACAGAGGAATTTATACTCAAAATGTATGACTGGAATAAAATTAATAGCAATCACTTCCTTCCTCTATTTGATTCCCCTCCTTCTGTGTTTCCTTTTTTTTTTCTTCTCCATCCTTTACCTCCGCTGATGTCTTTAATTACTGTTTTGTCTTCCTGTTATCTCGCTGTGAGCCACACAACAGGAACAAAATGGTGCAGACTTTTTTTCTCATGCTCTCTCTCACCATGGCCTCTTTGGTGTGCATCTCCTCGGAGGCAGAGGAGGCCACTTTCTGGATGATGGGGGCGATGTTGGTGGGCCCGTACAGCTGAATCTTGGGGAGGCAGTTCTGGTAGGCCTCCACCACGCCTTGGATCCCTGAAACACACACAGGTACTTGTATATTTCTCCACCTGTATTTGTGTCTACATGATCATGTGCTCATCTCATTAGGTCAGAGTTCTTGTACCGAGATTAGAGCATCTGATTTGGGGGGAAAAAATCCCTTAAAGTCCACACAAACACCAGCTTAGACGTACGCGCTTTCACTGCAGGAATGCAGCTATGTGTGAGAGGAGCTCACATGCCCATTTCACACATACAGATTAGTGTTGTTTTTCTCTGTATCTTCGAGACTGAAGTACTTGACAAATCTCCCAGCTGTGTGTGTGTGTGTGTGTGTGTGTGTGTGTGTTTTAGCATGCGCCTGTGTGTGTTTTGGTACTTGTGAGAAGAAGAAACAGAGAGTGGGGATAGATACAGAGAGAGAAATATGGTACTGACAGCCGAGGTGAGAAGAAAGCGGAGAGCAGTGACACTGGAGGAGTGTTTTGGTCCTCCTGTGATGCATGAATGAGAAAGTTTCTGGGAGTCAAGAAGTCATGTGTTTGTGTGTGTGTGTGAATGTGTGAATGTGTGTATGTGTTTGATTGCTCACCAGCACATTCAGGATTGTCCTCATCAAAGTTCACGGCAAAATCGTGGGAAACCTTGTTGTGGGGCAGAGAACAGAAAGCCGTTTACAGCCAATTTAAAGCAAACACTCAGCACAACATGTTCACAACATTTACAGACAGACAGATGCTTTCTCCTTTTATGTTGATCAAAGGCAAGCTGTGCCAGTGAGAGATATCTAAAATCTCAAGTAGCCAGAACTCCCCCCCTGCTGCTGCTGCTGCTATCACATAAACACACATCTCTAATGTCTTACCTTGAAGTCAGGTGGTATGAGAGCTCCGAAACCGAACGCGGGGAACATTTTATCACTAAACAAAAGAGAGAGAGAGAGAGAGAGAGAGAGAGAGAGAGAGAGAGAGAGAGAGAGAGAGAGAGAGAGAGAGAGAGAGAGATTCAGAGAAGAGAGAGAGACAATTTAAAAAGATGGAGAAAGGAACACAGGAAAAGACAACCAATAACTATAACATCTTGCCCCGTTCACAAACTGTGCATAAGTCAGTTAACTCAAAGTCCCAGGATTCATGGCTGTTATGACCTGAATTTGTTGCACTAGGAACAACATTAGATCTGTTTTAGATCATCCATACGCACAACTGATGAAGGCCAAAGTGTTTTAGAAAATGTACACGCACATAATTTAATGCACAGCAGAAAAAACACATTTACTAAAAAGGGTTAAAAGAGAACAATATTGAAATCGCTTAATTTGCTAGTGTCGTGCTATTTTCATTTGAAGTAAACGTGAATGCAAGAAAACACAGCAAATTGTACATATCATCGTTCCATTTTGAAATAAATGATCCCTCTCAACAAACTTCTGGTTGTTTGCATTTCAATGAATCTCTCATTAATATCCCTCATGTGAATGTTGTCCAGTAATTAGGGGAGGTTTGCATCTTGTGCTCTTCATTTGTTCTCTTTTCCAAGCAGCTTCAATGTCAAATCTATGAGTTTTATATACCTGAGCCACAGCACGTATAGTATCTTAGGGGACACAAAACTCTCCAGCTTGGTTATTGCAGTCAAAGTTTATTTTTTCTTTCTTGCCAAGCTCTCTCCAAGGAAGGAAAAAAAGAATTCTTTTGTCCTCAATCTCAGACTATTTTTTTCAGTTTCTTCTGTCATTAAATCCATTTTTGTTTGTTTGTTTGTTTGTTTTCCTATAGGGAACATGCTTCTCTTATAGAACACCTTTGACACTTCCTATAGGACACACCTCTCGGGATCTGTTACCCTTATGAAGAGAACTAGCATGGTAGTGTAGTGTAGATTTAAAATAGCAGGAACATGCATGTCAATTAAGAATGCGTCTGTTTTGAAAACGTGCACATGGTGGTGAAGAATCTCTTTTCTCCTGATAGAAATATTACCTGCACTCTTTTGTATGCAGAGCATGAACATTCCTACACATATATTGGTAAATGAGGCCCACCGAGAGCAGAAGATTTATAAAACATTTTAAATGATAAACACGTTTATAACTCTTGATGTAGAAGATTTGCTCCTCGGAGGGAAAATCTAGAGTGCATGAGTGTGTGTGTGTGTGTGTCCGCTAAATGATGATGGATGGTGAGGCTTCTACCTGTCATAGTCTTGGCATATCTCCCCCACAGCCACCAGTGCTTTCAGGTACTCATTGGGCTGGTAGGGGTGGATGTAGTGGAGGGAGCAGCTGTTTCTGGGGTCCCCATTGGACGCTGTGAAGTCTATTGCCACCTGGGACAGAAACGTGCACACACACACACACTCACACTCCATGAGTGGGCATGGACAGATAATGACATGCTGCTGCAAACGCTTAGGAGATTATATTTGACAAAACTCACAGTAAACTGGATTTGGCAGCCTCCCATAATGTAATCCAGGAAGGAATACATTTTGATTATCTGTGAGAGGAAATGTTTAAATTAGGGTTGTGGCATTGATTCAAGGTCGGATATGATAAGAGCTGAATGAGGTGGATGTTGCTGAGGTGCATGCGCAGTGACGCTTGAAATTAGTGCTGAAATAATTAATTTGGAAAACTAAATTAACTGATAACAATTTTATAATTTTATAGAGATTTTAATGGAGCCAAAGACAAAAATACCCAAATCACAAACATTACAGCTTATAAAATGAGTATTTTCTGTAAGTTGTTTTTTTTACTGCTTTATAAATGTGATGTTTGGATGTTTGTAAATGAATGGTGTAACATTTGAAATAAGCATTTTTCCAATGTTATCTGACTTTTAAACTGTAAATAAATAAACATTGAGAGTTTTGGAGCAATTACTTACACAAGAGTGGGATTACCATGTATTAAAATGACAGAAGATGGGACACGCATTCCTGCCACTGATTTTACATAATTTAATTCACTGATAGTTGTTGGAGGTAATGAACCAAAAAGTGTATCAATGTATCAATAACGCCAGGGAAGAAGAAGAAAGCTGCTGGCAATCAACCATTGATGCCTGTTAGTACGAATTCTCATGAATTCATTCATCTTGTTTATTTTGGGGGTAAATCATTGTAAATCTGTCTACCTAAATTCTTCTTTTAGGTCTGTGTAGCTGTAATACACATGTGTAAGACAGCTCATAGCAGCAGAGGTATATTTGGAATGGCTCCAAGCGTATGTTGTGAACTGAGAAGAAAATATGATTTTGCTGAGGCTGAAGAAACGTTTATGTCTGACAGTTTTAAGTGAAAGTAAAATCTTTTTTATAGCCTACTAGAAGTGTATCTAGATAGAAAGGAATGTATAGGCTGTACCTGCAGCTTACAGAATATATATATATTTTTTACACATCATTGTTTTCTGTCTGTCAGTTTGTTTGTAGGTCCAGTTCTCTTTTTGACATATTCAAAACAAATGTTAAAATCAAATCAAATCAAATTGAAAATCCAAATCAAATACAACATTAATATGCGCAACATTTAAAAATTGTAGTTATTGAGAGATCTGCTTTGCAAATATCTAATGAGTATAAGAAATGCCCTCGACAAAATGCATTTTGGTGAGAATTACAAAGAATGTAAACAAACGTCTGCTGGCCTTTAAGAAAACTCCAAAGGACACCTTTAATTGATAATAAAACTAATAGTCATACGCCGGCTCACTTGATCTGTAAGAATCAAATCAAAGGAAGTATAAGTAACTGAGACTGATGTTGTGTTACTTCACCTTACAATGGTTGAGAATGACGACACCAGAGTTTCTGTAATTCTTCTTCTTCATCTGGTATTTGGGGTTGATGCATTCCCACTGAAATCAGACAAACATACAAATGTTTATGTTAATGTTAGTGGTTCAACATCTGGTTAATAGAAAGGAGTGTCATTATTATAATCATATAACAACAAGAGACTTAATAGATGAAGAGAGATTAAGAGATCTGCATTAAAAAAAAAAAAAAATATATATATATATATATATATATATATATATATATATATATATTTACGTCTTAATATGTCTCAAATACTTTCAGGTCCTTTTGTAATAGCATTTCTTTTAGACACTTAGTATTAGGGATGGGAATCTTTGAGTGTCTCACGATTTGATTTCAATTCTTGGGGTCACGATTCCATTGAGAATCGATTTTCATTTCAAAATGATTCTGGATTCATGATTCAAAGTCTATTTTGAATGAGTAAATACTTCAGGATCTACTCCAGTCATCTGTGAGACTGGCTGAATTTCTTGCTGCTCCATTTGGCATTCTACTGAGTGAAAGAGCTAGCCTTAGCACTTAGTAGGGAGTGACTGATTAGACCAGAAAATAAGATTTTTGGAAGTTATGAAACTATTTTTTACATAAATCGATTCCCCCCCCCCCCCCTACTTGGTATTTAAGATATTAAATGTATAAATAATAATAATCATAATGGTGAAGATATGAATAATAATACTTTTTGGAGGATTGTTCATAGCTGTCATCGTTCGGTTGATCAACTTATTAAGAGTTTACATATAATGTCACAATCACAAACGTTTTAAACAGCTAAATCCAAAAATGATCAAGCTTGCTTTAAGCCTAATAAATGTGTACATTTGTGCTCACCTGTTTGCCCTCCTGCTCCGCTCTCACCTCCTTAAAAGTGGTCTGAAACTCCCCAATAAAGTCATGTTTCCCATTTGAGTCCCAGTCCCAAACTGTGCACTGAAACAAACACAAAGAGAAAAGTATAACACAGGCGCACATTCAGTTAGAGCAGAGCTGCAACACTGTCAACTAAACACACACACACACACACACACACACACGCTGGTGGCATGAGGGAAATGCCATGCTGAATGATTGATAAGGTGGTGTTAGTGGGGGGGCAATGGAGCGGTGAAATATTAATCTAAGGATGCTGAGAGGGCCGTGGCTTAAGAGACAGCTTTATGTGTGTGTGTTTCGGTGAAATACCGTAGTTCCTCGTAAAGATGAAAAATGGCTTCAATCTTAAGTAGAATCACGCAGGGGTCAGTGGGCCAAGGCTACACACTTCATAAAGAAACGATCCAGTTATTTTAAACATGACAAGAGGCATCAATATCCAGACAGACTCGGAGAGTTTATGTAATCAATAAAGTCAGTCAATAGTGACACTCATTTAGACAGAAAAAGGATTCTACCTGTCAGGAAGGTTTAATGGTTGTGAATTAGTAGATTTGCAGTTGAACTCTGTGACCTCTACTCGTCTGAGGTTGCAGCAACAAGTAGCGATCAGAACCAATTTAACAACGACTGATTAAAAACGTCCACCAGTAACCCACTTATTTCCTGTCTTCCACTTCAGCTGTCAAGTGCCTGCACCTGAAGTATGTGTGTGCTCCTGTCTGTGATTACATGTGCGTATCTTTGTTTTGACAGGGATTTTGTGTGAGGAAAAGAGCGCTCCTTTTTGCAGCCTTGCTTCACACCCACTTCAAGTTGCAGAGAGCTGTGAGAGAGAGAGCGAGAGAGAGAGAGAGAGAGAGTGATGGAAAAATGAAGAAGCGTTGTTCCATTCAGTGCGTGCTAACTGTTGGATGGAGATAGAGCGAGAGAAGACCAAAACGAAAGGAGGGGAAGACAGGTAGGGAGGTGAGGAAAGGGTGTGAGGAGAAGCACAAAGGAGGAGACAGACAGTGTCCGCACAGGAGGTTGATACATTTATGTATTGGTCATTTAAGAGCCAGTGAAAAGGATACACTGGACTGAATAGAAATATCTGCCCTGCCATTTCTCACTGATGCTTCAAACAGGTAGCCCTGGAAACCATAGCTGATGGCAAGTGTGTGTGTGTGTGTGAGTGTCAAAGTGTGTGTGGGTGTGAGAGCCCTTTCTCCTGCTGTCAGGAGCCATGCAGAGTTAAGACGCCTCTGAATATTTAATGCACATCTCATGTTTATTCATGGCAAAGAACGACTGTTTGGAGCTGGTGTGTGGACACACATACGCACATACACACTCACAGATCAGGTCAGGAAAGTAAAGGTGAGAGTTTAGAGCGACCACTGAGCTCTTTCACACCCGTCAGTCTCTTTAAATAACACAGCGAACACATCAGGAAACCGGCGGCACATGACCTGAACTCAACTCCTGCATCGGGGAAGGAAAACAGACGGAGATGCCTGAGGCGGCTTTCCGACTCACTTTAATTCAGCTTAATACTTATGTTGTGCGGCACTTTAGTAATGCTTAGGTTTGACAAATCTCCACAGTTGTATGCTTCGCAGGAGCACACTTGCAAAGTTGCGCCTGCAGGACTCCAGGTGCTTTCTTTGCCTCTTTTTTCTTAACTTAAATGTGCCTCCCGTGGGGAAAACTGACAAGGGAGCTGTGTCGAAGGTTTTCAGCATACTAATTTATTGTTCCAGATAAAAATTAAGGTTAAATTAAATTATGTTGCTATATTTATAACATGCAAAAAAAGAGTTGTATCTGCAGATGTTCCACTAACATTTTCACCTTTGCCCAGACTTACAAACGCCCTTTTGATACAGGTGTAGTGAAAGGATTATAATGTAATATAATTATAATGTTGAAATAATAATATTTGCTAGCTTTGACCAGTTCTGGAACTCACTGGCTAACTGTTTGATGATGGTATATGCTTTTGGGAGCGATGGGGGAATTCCCCTGTGATGTCAGCGACCAACTTTAAAGGGGCTATATGTAACTTGTATATGTATAAATTGTTTTTTATTGCCAATTAATAAGCGAACGGTTAACTGATGTGAAAAAATAGATGTTCACCGTCTATCTGTGTTGCCTGTATAAAATGTTTCCCCGGTTCATATTTTCCAGGCTCCAGGAAGTGACATTTTATGCATGTTCTCAACGTCCTCCTCACTCCGCTCTGCTTACAGAGATCAATAGCACAAACTCATCACACACTCCCGCTCTCAGCCAGTGCCTGCAGAGACTGTCGTTTGTAGGATGGAGAATGAATACAGACACACAGACTCCTTCACAGACTTTCACATGTGTATGACCAATTACCTCCTCTGTAAACATTATGCCCGTAAATATCCAGTGTTTTGCGGCCGATGATGATGCTCGTTTGTGTACGTACGAGCACGTATGATGCAGCACGCGAGGGAGAGCGAGCAACAGGTTACTGGTGCAGTTCGCCTAACGGCCATGCGGTATCACTACAACCGCAGTATTTTTGAAAGTTACGTATAACCCCTTTAAAAGACTTCCAGCTAAGAGCACCTCTTCTGTGCATTACAGTGTTTTACAGTCTAACTAAGTTCCTGAGAAGTGATCATCAGTTTAAATCCAGAGTTAAGCAAAATGTCTCCCTCCAGATATGTCTGCAAAGTAAACTGTAATGTCTTGGTTGGATCTGTACATCTGTTTTCGGTTAGTCTCTCAAATAGTCTGTTACACAGAAGCTTCACTACCACAGCAGTATTAGCCCAAAAAAGAAGCAGATTTCTTGTGTTTAACTTGCGATGAGGTTTTGCAAAAATAACCGCATCATAATTCAGATTTGTAAAACATTTTTTTTTTTTTTTAAGAAGTCATCATTTCTGATGCATTTGAGGGAATCAGGAGTTCCAAACACTGATTGGTTTTCACAATATAGTTTTTTTTCACAAGATTAGTCAGACTGAAAGCTGCACTTGTATGCAGATACAGATATCAGTTTATAGATAAATGTATATGTAAGAAATAGAAGAAGGTTTGCCCATACACTTGCTCAATGCCACAAAAACTATTGAATGAAAAAGTTTCGAGAGGTCTTCTTAAGGTGATCATTATTTTAAGATAATAGATAAAATAAATCATCTTCAGATTACACATTAAAGTGCCCAAGACCAATATCAATAATGGTAATGAAAAACAACCGCAGACTCACCTTTAGCTCCCTGTCCTGGTCCCCACTGCAGAGCGTATTCAAAGAAACTTTAAAGGATTTCCAAACTGGGCTCAGGTTGTTCATGACCGTCTACCAGTGCACAAAACATCACAGTTTTTGTTTATAACAGGCCTAAGCAGGAAACAGTATGCATGTGTGTGTATGTGGGTGTTTGTGTGTAAAAGTAATTACCTCAGTTCTGTGTACAAGCGACTCAGTCCCATCATCATTTATTCTGAAAATCTCCAGAAAAGGATCAGACTTGCTGAAGAAATCCTTCGGAGGGAGAACACACATGTAAGGAGTTGCATCAGACCAGCTTTTGATCACCATAAATCAGTCACACACTAACAGAACCATCCTGTCAACCTGTTTTCTCCGAGTTCTTTCTTCTTTCTTTCACCTATTCCTTTCCTGTCCTCTCCAATTTACCCACCCCTCCCTAGCGTCCTCCCATCTCTCCCTTAAGGCGCAACTTGTTTGGGTTAGTCATCCGTGAATGTGTGTGTGTGTGTGTGTGTGTGTGTGTGTGTGTGTGTGTGTAGAGGCTGAAAATGAATGAAGTTATCTCTGTGTGCTGAGATAAGAGGGGGGTTACTGGGGTAGAGGAGAGCGGCCAACTATCTCACCAGGCCTCCTCTAATGCCAGATTGTACTCCTGTGTATTGTGTGCGAATTGCTTCATCACTGATTCCCACGGCCCCTTCACCCACACACTTCTTCATCCACACACATACACACCTGCCTGACAGTGTTAACTTCTCCCATATTTAAAGCAGAATCGCACATTTAAAAGCGCGCACACTTTTTGCACAAACCTTGTCATCGAGCTTACGGGCACTGAAGGAGAGTTCAACGTAATCGTCGTTACCCGACAACTCCTCTGCTGTCACCTTTAAAGTGGGGGAAGAGGAGAAAAGAGGGAGAAGAGGAGACAGCGAGAGAAGTAGAACAAGGAGGTGAGAGAAAATGAGATGGAAATGAGGAACAAAGCAGACTGCATAGGCAACGTCGTCAAATTAATTATCTTCAGAGTGTCTGAGTGCAGGAGGTGGTGCGTGCTTGACTTGTGTGTAATGTGTGTAGCTGACTTTGGAAGCACGCGGTCATACCGTTATGGAAGACTTCCCTGAAGTGTTTCCCTGCTTGAGAAGAGCTTTGGTCAGTTTTCTCTGAGAGACGATCTGAAACAGAGACACACAGACTCACAGTGTTTCCCCTCAGACAGCTCGCCCTCTTCGTGTCACCCAGACCCTTTTCTTAATGTTAGCTTTCTGCCTTTTTACACGCCCAGCGGACATAAAGCAGCATGGAGGACTCACCTCTCTCTCTGTACCCGTCAAATGTGATTTTCTAAGTGGTTGTATCACTGGTTTGATCTGCCAGCTCTAACACTTTTTCACCTTTTACTGTTTTGAGCCAGCCTGGTGCTATGCATAGGGGACTACTTACTACTACTACCACATGTGGAGGTAGCTAACTGTGTGAGTTTTAAGGTGTAAATACTTCATAAAAAGACAAACACAAACAGGGATATAAAACCACATGGACGCTACAACATGCTGCAGTGTGGCATTGATTCTCGGTGGGATCGGGAGCTCTGGAAATGCTGTTAAATGACAGGAAATCAATTGATGCAGTTCAGAGTTACTATCCAAAAAGAAACAGGGATTCCAATGTGTCTAACATTGAAAGCTCATTACTGGAGGGTTAAGAACTAGACTTGTTTTGCCAAAGAGATGTTTTATAGGTGAAAGCTTGTACAATATGTGATCAGATAGAGCACACTAAATATTGATTAGTTCCTGAAGAGAGAGGAAACATTACCTGCATTAAACTTTACTCAAACCTGCAGTTATTTATTTATTGGTTACTTACAGGTGGCAAAAAAAAAATTGGAAACACAGCACAAGCACCTTTAACAAATGCTTGTCACCCTCCTATTTCGCCTCATTGCCCTGAAAAGTATGGGGGCAGATTGGTGGGGCAACATTGTTGGACTATTAAGCAGGTAGCAGAGGTAGTAACAAAGGTGAAGCATCATCTGTGTAAACGTGGGAACTGCACGAAACAGGAATGTGTGTAAAGGTTGTTTGTTTACACGTTGCACCTGTTTTAGTTCTGCAACACCATAAAGCTGTTAAAAATCACACACTAAGGCAATAATGTGACAGCGCTGTGTAGATCAGTGTCAATGTATAAATGTGCGGACGCTGGTTTAACTCAGTTAGAAGAGCAGGCAAAGCAGGCCACAGCCCTTGTCGCAATGGTTGCCGGTTCCACTCCCAATCATGATGATATTTGGTGCATGTCATCCACCACTTTATCTACCCACATGTCCTGCCTGTCTGAGTCTTTTCTATCTAATAAAACCCCCAAAATCATCTTAAAAAATCATTCAAGAGCGAAAACTTTGTTATGGCGCTGTTACAGAATCTCTGTATAAACTGGGCACTGGTTTAGCTCAACTTATGGATCATGGACCCCATGTGCAGAGGCTGTAGTCCTAGTGGTGGTCCAAGATTTAAGTTCAACCCTCACTTTCCCCACTTTCCCACACCCTTACCCCATACTTTCCTCCAATTGTTTGTCACCACTCTCTACTGTCTATCAATATAGGCATTAATGGGGCCGTTAGGTGGCCTTGTGGTTAGTTTCAAGCCCCATGAACACCCCTTGAAGAGGGTGGCCGGGGTTCAAGTCCGACCCACAGCTCTTTTCCCGTACGTCATTACCCACTGTCTTTATCCCCCCCAGTGTCCGACCCTATCCACTGTTCTCTCTGAATAAAGACATTAAAAAAGCCTAAAAATAAATTCTTTAATACAGGCATTAATGGCCCAAAAAGTATCTTTTCAATAAAAGGTCTGGTGAGTCGCTAAGCTGTTATGTACAATGGGCGACGAGTGCAATGGTGCTGCAACAGTCGAAATGATCATTCAGAAAAACAGACTGCAAATTCAAAAACAATGCAACTTTAAAAGGACATGAAAAAATCCAAAACAAACTAAATGTTCTTCAAATCAGTTTGAGAAATGTCACTGTCTTTTGATGAAATTACAGAATATGCTACAAAAAGTTGCATTTGTTCTGTACTTTTGCACATTTTATAACAATTTTTTAATGTTTCTGAATTTGCAGCATATTTCTTTTAACGGAAATGGTTTATTCCTTTCCATTTCCTGGATGTGTAAAGCGACATTATCATTCATTTGGTGTTCCGCCTTTTCCGGCAACCCAACAAGTATCTGATATTTATTCCATTTACAACTTTGCATTTAAGTCTTCTTCACCAGCTCTGAAGACAGATTTCTGGCTTTATTGCTGCTAAATGCTCTAACAGTCCCAACAGATTTACAAAAGAAAACAATAGGTGGAAAGATAAAATAAGATATAACTATTCAACCTGAAGGAAAGACATAATAGCTAAGACATTAAGATCTTCTCAAAACCTGACTGTGCTGACTGTGACATTTATTCCCCCTGTGTGCATGTCACAGGAATGACAGCAGGTCCTATGGGATAAGGAGGGGTCTGCCACTGTACACACAAAAGAGAATTGATACAGTAATGAAACTAGTGGCATAATGTTACCTTTACATACATGCCTCTGCTGCAGGCTCTGCTGCTTTCATACAGTATCAACACTAACGATGTCTTTCTTCTTAACAACACCTTTGATAGGCTATATTATCCAGAATGTTGTCGTTGAGACCCACATAAAAATGTTGGCACCATATTATCCAGTTTCAAAACCTCCCTGGCTCTGGCCTTCAAAATCCTCCTTTCTATGTCAATTATCTCTACTCTCACAAGTGTTGAAAATCCAGCAGCTTTATGCTGCTGAAAGCTTCAGCAGATTGCTCCTTAAATCTCCCTCAGCTGCTTGTTCGCACACGTCCCTCAAATCAGGAGACCATCTCTGTCGTATTTATATCAATGCTATATGTGTACAATGTTGTTCCACACATTCACAATATCAACAAAAGAGCAGAGAAGAACCTACTGGTGAAAAGAAGACATAAGCAGTTTCATCGTCATGTGCATACAGTCTTTGGTGGTGCGCCATTCATAGCGAATTTTCCTGAATATTTATCAGCTCACCCGGATTTCACACGGGAAATCTACTAAGGGGCTGGCAGGGAAAGTTAAGGTAAAGTTGGAGTGAAAAATGTGTCTGCTTGCGTTCACACATGCAGCTCACCAAGTTGTCAGGAGTTGTATGCATGTGTGAAAGGACCAATACGGTGAGAAGAGGAAACGAACCCTTATTCACATGTTTCATCCTTTGTTCTTTCTGCCTTCCCTCTGTCATTCCACTCAGCGTGATTGAGTTGTTAATCTCCCGAAATCAACTCACTTAACTTGTTAATGAGTACTGCTGCAATCTCTTTTTAAATGCGCTTCGGTATTCTTAAAGCACATACACAAAATACATCTTAAAATATTGATTACAAGTAAAGCATTAAAAGGGGGCAACTACAACACTAAATGGGAAACAAGGCCATAGTAATTAGCACATGCAAATACGAATGTGCCTTGAAAACATAATTTACAAGACCCTCTGGACTTTTCTAAACCAAGGACTCAATGACAGCTCACTGGAAATGCAGATCATGACAACAGCTGACCTTGAGTAAAATTATCACATTAGGATTCCATGCATGGATAAAGTTTGCCCCTCTAATTTGAAGTTGCTCTCTCACCTAATTAAAGTCACGTACCAGATTCCTGCATTTAATATGCCAACAGACTAAACATACTTTTTAAGGATGATACAATCCATCCTGAAGTTCTAAAAAGTACTGGGTGCTGGACATAAAACATCCAAAGACAGACTCAGTACTTTTTCTATCTTTTGATGTAATTGTAGAACATGTCACTGACTTGTCCTAAGGTGCACTCCATAGATCCCAGGAAGTCAGCATCTCGGAGGCCGTTGTTTCCAGAGCTGATGTCGTGCAGTTCAAAGCGAAGCCTCTGCACCTCCTCAAAGTAATAATCCACCAGGAAGATCTTAGAGAAGACGGGGCCGCTGCTGCTACGAATCACCTCTGTTCGGTCAACCTGCAACACACACATATACACATGCAGACATGAAGGAGAGCAACACACAAACATACACCCATATCCACAACTCCAAGTTAGTCTTAGTGTGTTGATTAAAGTTATAAAAGACAATTCCAACCATTTTTACGGTTTCTATTTCTCCAAAGATCACAGCCTGAGTTGAACAAATTACAGAGTTGGGGCTGCGCAATAAACTGCAATTTTATGATTCCTGTTTTACATATAAATGTCTATCTTTGAATCATTTCTGTATATTATAAAAAGGTATGGAACTGTGAATATAACATTTCATAAAACTGTTCAAGTTCATAGTTGGCAGTTTCAAAACATAAATTGAGTTTTCATGATCTTCCAAAAGTTGAACGAGGTATAAAGATTTCATTTAACATTCAACACGCTGCCACTCTGCATTGATTACGAACCTCTTTTCAGCATTGCAGCAATTACCACAAGTACCCCATTGCCACATTGTTCACACGTATCAACTTCAGTATTTGGAATATAGATTTTTTTTTTCTTTTTGATGGTTTGAACCACACAAGAGCTTTGACTACACAGAGAAATGGCTGTAACATTGATCTCACCTTTTCTGTACTCTAACTGCCAGACACAGAAAGCAATGGAAAAAAAGTCGAACAAAGGTCCGTCTCAACGCTGCAATCAAAACATTCAACAAAGGCAGCAACAACTGGGTCTCTTTTATTGTTGATAACCCTTTGCCACAGACAAACACACACACACGCACACACACCTCTGACTTCTGATAGTAATTCAATCACTCGGTTGCTGTGTACACACACACACACACACACACACACACACACACACACACACACACACACACACACACACACACACACACACACCACACACACACACACACACACACACCAAAGTGAACGACATATCATCAGACTCAAGAAACACAAACAGATTTGGCCTTTTTCTGACACTTACCTCAATAGGCTGGCATCTCATTAAAGCAAAAAATAAAAAAAAAACACTTACACACACACACGCCCGTACAAACACACGTGCACACAAATGAAGTGGCTTAAGCTCTTTCTCTGAAAGATGATCCAATTAACATTTGCCCATTCCCACAAAGAGGTTTCTTGCAACACACACTCACAAACATGCACCAGTAGGCTTTACAAGGTAACTTTTTGGTTGAGTGCAAGTGGATGCTTGTTGTCTAACTCTGTGTGTGCCCGTGACATTTTGAGTCTGTGAACCTGCACGTAAAATTCAGCGGATAAATATTATAGACATTTAAGCAGGGAATTCCATCTTAAGTCCATGTAACAGCAGGTTTGGGTCTTGAGAGTCAAACACTTTGCATTTGTCCTCAATTCATCTTCCTTTTTTGAATGCCATGAAATCTATTGTAAGAATAAGTTGCCTCCACCTCTTACAGCACAAAGAGCCGAATAACAACTGCCAAGGATAGAGAGGGAAAAAAAATCGTTTTGGTACGTTTAGGGTACACTGGTTGTTTGGGAGATGTTACAATGAGTGAAAAAAAAAATGATGCCAACATTTGGATACATAAATACAATATATACACACATCTGCAACAAAAAAAAAAGACTTCGGTTGCTCTCTGTCACAATTAGCATCCATTATTTATAACCTGCAATTTAGTGTGAGAGGGTTGGCAACACAATCACAGCTCTGCACCAGAGCGTAAGTCCTTGATTACACACAATCATTTATCAAAACATGAATTCAATGATATGCTTGAATAATTTCAAGTGCGAGTGAGAAATTCACAAAGAGTCATCTGAGGAGCAGATTGAGACACTTGTGTTCTCAATCTGACTGGTGCAGAGGATCATGGACAAGTGGGTTTAAACTAACAAAAAATTGAATGTTAAAAATATTGAATGGCTACATTTTAAGACAGTTTTTTCTCCATTGAAGCTGTCTCAGAAACACTGTAGAACGGTAGAAGCAAAAAATGTCAAGGAAAGGTCGTAAAGATGTTATATAACTGGAATATGGTTGCGAAACATCATTGCTGAAGGCTCGATGGATTCCAACATAAAAGAAGGAAAAGTAGGTCAGAAATTACCTGAGTTCAAATAGAGAGTGTATCAGGCTGCCAGTAGTGAGTTATTTGAAATAAAAAATTGGGCTTGCCTTTAAGTACAACCTTCATTTAAGAAAAAAAAATACAACACACTTAAACTGCCCCTTCCCACTACCTCCCTTCACTCTGCCCCTTTCCCGTCTGTACCTCAAACCACTGCCCATGCGACTGCATTTTCAGCACCACGCAGGGGTCAGGTTTGGAGAGGGCGTCTCGGTCTGAGATCCCCCGGCAGGCCACTCTCAGCTCCACTTTGGCCAGACATGGAGAGCTGATGAAGCCTAGTGTGGCCTCTGCAGACTCGTAGATGTTACTCATCTTCAACGCACAATCACACACTGGAAAAAGAGGGGAAAAAATAGGGTTAGATGATAGATGTATAGATGTATAGATAGATGTATAGATGTATAGATGTATAGATGTATAGATGTAAAGATAGATAGATAGATAGATAGATGTATAGATAGATAGATGTAAAGATAGATAGATAGATAGATAGATAGATGTAAAGATAGATAGATAGATAGATAGATTGATAGATAGATAGATAGATAGATAGATACTGCAGTACAAATGTAACTGTTGTTTGCTCTGACATGAGCAGGTGCAGTGGCCCTGACTAAGCAGACAGTGCTCAAACTGTTCAAGGTCAGGACTCTGAAGCCACAGAATACAACACAAGGTCTCAAAAATAGGCACAAATACACACAAAACTATACTCTTCAATACAAACGCATGTCAAAATGCATAAAAACATGTTACTGAAAACTTGTGTTTGAATGTATGTGCACATTTTGTGTACGGATCAGCACACACACACACACACACACACACACACACACACACACACACACACACACACACACACTGTGCTCTGCTGAGTAACTAGAACAAATCCCTGTATTTCTCCTCAGGTTTCCACAGACTGTATAGTGTTCCCAGTCCCTAAATAGAATTCTGTCAAGCATCTAATCGCTGTGACACAAACATTTCTGTCCTCATAATGTCAAAGGACTCCCGAATCTCCAAAAAAGTTTGACTACATTTGCAATTAAAGGCTAAAAAATATCGACCATCTACAGCGTGAAGTTCAAACTAATTCTTCTGAGGAAGTAACCTTTATGAGACATTAATTTCAGTAGAGGAAATGTTCTGGTAGAAAATGTCTCACAGGGCATCAGTAATGGTCAATATCACATAGCAATATACTTAATGTGTGAGAAGGGATAACTGTCCTAATCTTAAACGCCCCAAACATCCATCAAACACCCACACAGGTGTTTTCAATTATTCTGCTTAATTAAAAACTCTTCTCAGAGACATGTGGGCGGGTGAAGACTCAGCTTGATTGAGGTAATCTGCACTCTTATTTCAGTTTCACTTGCACCTGTTTGAATGTGATTAGAGACACTTTATAGTTACTTTTAATGTTGTTAATGGTACATTGACTCTTGTAACTGAATGTAATTACCACCAACCTTTAACCTAAGCGGATAAAAAAAAAAGAAAGAGATAATCACCCAGATGCACAACCAGCTGTGTGTGTTTGAAGCAACTTGTAAGAAAAAGCTTTGAATCGCAAGTTAGCTTTGTGTTAGTAATGCACGGTTAACCTTATCTTTGTCATCACTCCAATTTGAACACATGCAAATTGCTCCGATCAAATTGCCTCAATTGCAATGAAAAATGAAGCCAGCTGGGGCGCTGGTGGCGCTGTGGTTAGTGCGCGTGTACCATGTATGGAAGCTGTAGTCTTCCAAGCGGGTGGCCCAGGTTCAAATCTGACCTGTGGCTCCTTTCCTGCATGTCATTCCCCAGTCTCTCTCGCCCCCTGACTCTATCCACTGTCCTATCTCTCAAGTAAAGGCACAAAAAGCCCCAAAAAATGAAGCCAGCTGATACCTACCCTCAGATTATTGGGGATTTTGGTAACTGGGATTCATTAGTTTGAATTTGCTGTGGTTTATGAGATGCATCTATCCTGGAGTATAGGGTATAGTCGAGGCTCATAATGAATGTAAGTCCATGAAGAGGGGAGGTCTATCCACATTAAAAAAAAATGCATAACTGGTTAATATGTGAATTGATTTTCAAAGGGATTGTTGTGTGTATGATACACTCGGTTAAGTAAAACAATGTTTAAATAGGCTACCATAATGTAGGCCTATATCTTATAAGAGTTTATTGTGAATCACAGTAATCTTGTGACATAGCCTGCACAGTGATTCTCTACATCCCAGTAACATTTTATAATCTATCATAACCCCTCTCCAAGATCGCTGCCACATTGACATATTGCTGCGGTGAGCTGTATAAGCTAACTGTAAGTTTATCTAGCACTTCCACGGCTATGTAACCTTGCAGAACTTGTGATTGCAATTGTGAAGAAAAAGAGTAGCACTTCTGCAACAAGAGAGAGTTGTATACGGTGGAGACGACTTGTAACATAGTTGTGGTTTGAATCGTTGTCATTGCAATTTTAGATTGTTCTCCTACCATACAGCCCTATTAAGCTTAACGACTAGAAAAACAGCTGACCATTTAAAGCTCTTCCATTTACAGTAAGTCAGGCTATTTGTTTATTTTAAGCTAAATATCTCCTCAATGTAGATTCATATTTGGAAAGAAACATTAATAACATTGATCAACAAATTACTGTCACAGCAGTTTACTTAAAGGCATTTAAGTATTATCAATAAAACATAAACACCCTTCCAAAATGCCTATAAAGAAACAGCTGCCAGATACTTCAACTTTTCCATACAGTTCATATTGAATTTGACAAAGTGTGCTGCATGAATATTCAATCTTAGAATGAGAGATAATTTTTGTCTCTGTCCATACAGTACAATTAGAACTGGGGTATAAGATTTTTGTAGCCTCCAGTCCAGTTGCTGTTAGAATAACCGCACGTCTGATGTGCTAGATGGTACAAACTGAATATTAATGCAGCGGTCTGGTAGCGTCATCCTTAGGGAGAGAAGCTCTTGGAACTGGGTCTGACTCTGACCTGAATGCCTCTCTCTCCCTCTTTCTGCCTCTGTCTTTTCTCCATAATTCATGTTCCATGTGTGTATTTGGCTGCTGGTGATTCTTTTTAGCTAAAGCATGCAGAAACTGACTATGTTAGGAGAAAGAGAAGGGCCACAGGTATGTGACATAAGGCAAACCTGCGTGAAGGTGGTGTGTACAGAAATTCCAGCGTGAGCATGGTGGTACTTTTCTGCGTGCGTGTGCGCAGGTTTGTGTGTGTATAGGAAGCAGCAGATGCTTGTCTGTTCCGGTTGACAGCAGATGACACTGACAGCGACAGAGGATGTGCAAGATTTCTCCTGCTGTAACTACTGAAAAGGAACTGTGTGCAGGACTTTCCTTTACAGTGCAGCTTTAAGACTGATCTGCTGAATTGTTGCCAGAGGTGACAGAAACATTTTGAATCAAACTATGTCACCTGATCTGGCATAGATTCTTGGGGAAGGGGGAATCCCAAACTGTGGTTATGCCAAGACTTTCAACTTGTTTAATGGGCTTAAATGCTTTGGTGAGGACAGCTCATGGTCTTAGTTTGAATACATCTTCCCAATATTTAGGAGTAAAGAACTTTACACAATCACAGGGCAGCTTTCAAACTTTCAACAAAAATATTTCGGCAGAAAAATTCAATTTTGTCACTGTATTCTCCTAGATAGAAGTATTCACCTCCAATGAAAAAGTGAGCTGCCGTAAATGGTTTGCATCCACTGAAATGTGTGCGTAAATCAAAAATAATGACCAGCATGACACAGAATGAATTGATTGATAGGTGGTGTAAGATGCTTTACAATCATTCAAGGCTCCTCTCTGTCCGCTCCTGTTCTCCACACTGACACAATCAATCATACAAGAGCTCGATTGCCATGACCCTTGACTTTGTGTGTGTGTGTGTGTGTGTGTGTGTGTGTTTTAAAATGTGCATGTACAGTAAGTGCGTGACCGTTCACCTTCACATGTTCATGTGTGTAAAGTGACTCTGACAGATGTGACACTAATGATCCAGCCACCAGAAGGTCCATAACACTCAAGCACACTGTAATTACTCTGTCACATATTGATTATCAGACAAACAGGGATAACATCGGCCTGCAGCCACAGGACAGGCAGCATGAGCAAACTATGTGACATGTTACGCAACCCTGTATGGAATATTAATCATGCAAGGTGACAGATTGAAGATGGAGTGGACACATAACAGGCTGCGTCCGGGCAAAGTATAGTATCAGAAGTGAAGCAGTGTGATGTTGAGAACTCATTGTTATTAGAGCTGACAGAGAGACAGGGGCAGGGAGAGAGTGAGGGGGACAGACGGGTTGAGGGAGGATTAGGGAGATGGGGTGAGAGAAAAAGGTAAGAATAAGAGAGTGAGAGAGAAGCAGAGAGAGGATCTTCCCCTCTCATAGGGCTTATCTTGTCTTAAGGCACTCTAGGCAGAATTAAATTAAAGCATATCTTGCTCTGATAAGCCTACAAGGTATTTTCCAGTGTTCTTTTGAATAAAGAAACTTCTTAGACACTCTGGATATCTTCGGGAAAATATTCAGTTGCCTGATGGTAAAAACGCCAGTGTTTTAACTCTATTAAGTCGACTGAATAATTAACACATCCACAAAAAGTCACACAGTTCCTGCTCAACATTAAATATGAAGTAGGCTCCATTTTTCCTAGCAGGCTGTAAACATCCAATATCATTAAATCAAGGGTGTATTTTACTAACACCACAATAGGCTACATACTTATTTTTGCAACAGCATATCTCTTGCACCAGGTAAAACATGCACCATCCAGGCTGCTGCTGCTGCTGCTCTCTCCCGATGAGAGAAAACTCACCTGAACGACCTGGAGACAAGATCCGAGCGGAGCCGAACAACTTCACCGCCGTTTAGTTCACAATCATGGATACCTCAGCGCCTCCGGACCCATCTCCCTCTCCTCACTCTCTTAGTCAAGGCTATATGTTTCCCCCCCCCCCTTCTTACACTGCAGAGCTCAGCCGTTGTTGGCGCTGACAGCCTCACAGAGATGCTTTCTGATTCCCACAGGGCAAGGCACGATGAGGATGCGCTTCTTTCTTGCGCCTGGGTTTACTCTGGGTAAAGGATGGCGAGGAAGAGGAGGAGGAGGAGGAGTAGAGGAGGGGGAGGAGTAGTGCGCCACTTAACTGGAGTTTGTAATCCGCCGGTTCCATGGGGGGGGCGCAGAGAGTGCGCCGTGTCCAGGGACCAGCAACACGTCAGCATAGAGCATCAGCGCCATCTGGTGGTTATCACCGAGAACTTTCAACACCTTTCAAATTGATTTTCTGGTTCTCTGCTTTGATTGGCTGCGATACGCCTCGCCGGTCTTATAATCAGGGATGACCGAACACCTGAGACCACTTGGCAGTTAAATTAAAGTTCACGCTGTGCCCAACAGGTTCACTGGTTCAGATTAATTTAGAAGAGTATAGGCTAAAGACGTTTTTACTGCTGAAATGGGTATATGTAAGAAATAACTATAGACTACCGGCAGATCTTTGCTTGAGGTGCTTTATGAGTTTTAATGTTTTGTGCTTTTATTTGATTTAATTTCCTAACTTTTCACTTTGATCGTTTGTCTTCTCGTCTAAATTAGTTTTGTATTGTTTGCAGTAGGAGAACAGTTGCTGAAGGCTGCTCATAAATATCAATTGATTCCTGTAATGCGATGTGCACTGACTTTTTTACTCATTAGATTTTAATAGGGGCTACATTAACTTTTGGCTCGACAAACTTTTTCTCGTGAATAATCCTATTGTCTTGTTGAAGAATGTGCTCCAATGTTCCCAAAATCACGGCTCTTTCTCTGAAACCTCTAATAGTCAAAGCACCAACGCAATTTGAATCGCATCCAGTTCTCACATGGCATTACAGCTTTATCTCTATCCTGTAGGCTTAGGCACGGTGCCATATTATTAACAAATCAAGGCATTGATTTAGAAGGAAACAATTTTAAGAGGATATAGTCTAAAACGGATTTGTGTGGATCTTTTGAAAGCCCATTTATCCTGTTAAATCGGCTACAAGCATATCCTGTATTCATATATTTTCTAATAGCCTGTCGTTGTCAAAATAGCTCTGGTGTTTCACAATTTAATTTTGGCATCAATCACAATAAACCTTAAATTATGACAACAAATTATTATTTCCATCTGTGGCCAATTATTAAGTTTGATTTTTGAAATACAACAGTCTTTAATTGTAGACTCCCCTTTGTTTATAACCTGGTGTGAATGATAAGTCCAGCTCCGTCACTTAGCGATGGATGAGATCATTTATGTCTGGAGCATGGAGTCCAGCTTTGTGCGGGCGGACCACGCCCCGGCCGCGGCGCGGTGCGGTAGTGCACCACTAGGCTAGCTTAGCACTCAGCTGCTACATCCGGGCGCTCTGCTCGGTGTAGAAACCCTGCGAAGATGGCGACTTCAGGGAGGAGTGCGATATTATCCTCCACCTCAGCTGGACCCAAGAACACACTGGAGAGCTCCAACACAGAGGAGGAGGACGGACAGGACTTATGGTGGGTGAAATGTTATTTAAGCTGTATTAACACATAGTGTGGGCGCAGAGGGTGCATTGTGCGGGGAGGAGAATGGGTTGACAGCTAGTTCGCTAACGATGCTAGCTAGCATCAGCACCAGCCTCACTGGACGCTGGTGACACAACAGCACTTAGCTCCTTTTAGCCTCTCGCTGTCAGTCGTTGTTTTTAATGAATGAATTAGGCTTTTTCAGCCGAGTTGTAACAGCGGCTCTTCTTTCTGCAGGTCTACCATCCTGAGTGAAGTTTCAACCCATTCAAGATCAAAGCTACCGTCGGGGAAAAATGTCCTGGTCATGGGTGTGTATCTGTGTGTGTCTGCAGTCTGTGCTGGCTAGCCAATAGGCATCATTAGCTTGAATAGCTCAGCTTCTGGTTATCTCTTTCTAGTAGACTTAATACTGCTCGACAGCTAAGCTAGCCTTTCTCCGGATTGATGATGCTCTCGTGTTGAAGCTTTTAAGTTAAGGTGAGACCGATAGCAGTGAGACAGGTGTATTTTTCTGGGCACTTATACACCACGCACGAGTACGGGTGCGCGCACACTACCTCATCTTGAAAGAGAGAATCAGGCCGCTTTGAAACACTGCAAGTCATTCTAGCATTCAGTGATGCTAGCCGCAGCTAGGTGGAGATGATGCTGAAGGGACAAGACAAATCATCAGCCTGTGTGTGCTTTCAAACGAGGCCACGAAGCTGTATGAGCCTGAAGCAGACACAGGGTGCCTCCCTGTCTCGCTCGGTCCTCGTGTCCCTAATGCAACACAAACACACACACACTGTCCACACATCCGACTGAGGTAATCCTGCAGCCAGCAACCCATTCAAGCTAATCAGCGCGTTGGTTTCCGATGTAAAGTGTGTTGTGCTATCCATGACAACATCAGCAATCTCTGCTCTATGATGCAGCGAGCCCCCCTGTCGCTTTAGACCCCCCCCCCGCCTTAAAACACACATCCATAACAATACTGTCAGCTCAATGAGAAGTGCAGTCTATTGACAGTGAATATGCAGTAAATTAATGCTGTTGTTACTTAATAAAAAAATTGCAGTTTCACATAAAGGAGATACTGTTGTTTTATAGTCAAAACATTTTTTTTCATTATGTGTGTAAAACATTTATTTCTGTGAGGAGATAACACATTAGTTGGTAGATTATAAGGTACATCTGCAACTAATTAGGTGATTATTGAATTAATCCTTGGAGTAAATTTTCAAGCAGGAAATTACAAAAATGGTGTAATTATGGTTTTTGAATGTTTGGATCAATCTATTTTTGTTTTGTGTGACATTTAACCAAGTGACTGGAATGAATGGTTTTGGATTGAATATTAAAAAAATCGCAGTAATGTGTAGGTGAATTGGCAACGGTTGTATTCATGTTTGGAGTTCACTTGTGCCTCATGTCTTTTATTTCTGTATCTGAACGTCTGGTTTATCCGCTTTAGGTGAGGTGGGTTCAGGGAAGACAACCTTGGTTGCAAAACTTCAAGGTATTGAGGAATACATGAAGGGGCGTGGCCTGGAATACCTCTACTTCAGTGTCCATGATGACGACATTGATGGTAACTAGCAAGAGCTCCCAATTCTCAAAATCAAAAATCCTTTTAAGATATTTTTTTTCCCAGTAGAGTTCCAGTGAAGAAATCCTGGAGCATGGTTGTGTGAGCTTTATATACATCTCCATATGCTTTGTGTGTCTGTGTGTGTTTAGACCACACAAGGTGTAACGCGTGGGTGTTAGACGGAGACCTTTATCACAAAGGCCTGCAGGGAGTAGCTGTCCCAGTGGACTCGATCGGGGACACATTGCTGCTGATAACGCTGGACATGTCACGGCCTTGGAATGCCCTGGACTCTCTCCAGAAGTGGGCAGCCGTTGCTAGGGAACATATCGACAAACTCCGAGTCGCCCCGGAAACGCTGCGAGAGCTGGAACACAGACGTGAGTGACGCATACAGCAGTCGGTTTTACTTGCAGATAAAGTTGAAACTAAGTATGTATGGATTTAAGGGAAATGTAAATAAGGAGGTTTTTTTTAATAATCATGTTTTGCCTCATGAGGCAACAAAGGTTTAAAACTGTTGAAAAAGTACTGCCTGACATTTGTTTATTTTGTTTGTGTGCAGTTGTAAAACAGTTCCAGGAGTACACAGAGCCTGGTAGTGGGGAGGATGGCACCCCGCAGAGAAGGAGTGAAGATGAGGAGAGCGTGCTTCTGCCGTTAGGAGACAACACACTAACACATAATCTAGGAATACCAGTGGTGGTGGTCTGTACCAAGGTACACGCATCATCATGACATATATGGAAAAATGTCTCTTTTACCTTGTAATTTAATTGTTAGTGTATTTTAAAGAAGCATCTTTGTATTCTTCTACTTTGCATCTATTTGCATGCATTTCCCTCTGTGTGACACCTAATTATCTGACCTCAGTGCGATGCCATCAGCACGTTGGAGAAGGAGCACGACTACAGAGACGAGCACCTGGACTTCATCCAGTCTTACGTCAGGCGTTTCTGTCTGCAGTGTATCCTTTGCTAAACATTGCTGCGAGCTGAAAGTTGCACAAACAGAAACTTTGAAGTGTCACTAAACAATGAAAGTATCGATCAGCACAGAATAATTAGCGGTTTTAAAAGCGCTGTTGATCGATACTGCTGACTCTGCAATTTTGCTGTCAGATGAGAAGAGCTTTAAGGCATTAATTCACATTTAAACTTGCATACTCGTTACATCCAGCTGCCGTGTAGTGGAGGAGGGTGATAAAGCATTATAATGTGTTCTTTTCTCAGGGCAGCACTTTTATTATTGCAGGGTTTTAGCGAGTGTTAGCTGTGTCTGATCTGTTGGTGTTTATATTGCTTTGTTGCAAAGAGAGTTTGATAAGTCCTATTACCCAGTACCCATTGAAATGTGTTTGTTTATTTACAGAATCATTTCTCTAGTCAGAATGAAAATGGTACTCAATTTTTTAAGGTTTATTGTGTTTAATACAAGGCACACTGCTGTAGTTCTCCTAAGCACAAGTGGCAGTTAGTTATTGCTAGAATCTGTTTTTATTGCAGTGCCGTTGGTATCAAGAGATGTTTTTGTCCCTTTGATGTTTGTATTTCTTCTCCTACATTTAGAAATAGACGTGTTAAAAATGTCCTTGACAGCTGTGTCAGATGGTGCGTCTCTGGTTTACACATCAGTGAAGGAGATGAAAAACCTGGACATCCTCTACAAATACCTGGTCCACAGACTCTACGGCTTCCCCTTCCACTGCCCGGCACAAGTGGTGGAAAGAGACGCTGTCTTCATGTAAGCCTGCCTTCATATTATGTATGCAGGACTGTGCGTCCATCTGTGTTTGGTTTTTCTAACCCCTACATCTGCTTTATTAGTCCATCAGGCTGGGACAATGAGAAAAAGATTGCCATACTTCATGAGAACTTCCAGACAGTAAAAGCTGACGACAGCTTTGAGGACGTAGTAGTCAAACCGCCAGTCAGAAAGGTACAGGCTTTCACTTCTAAATCGGCTAACTTGGAAAGATCCTCTTAGTCATGCTAAGCTTAAAGTGTACCTCATTGTTTACTGCTGTAATGTTGCATATCATTGTTTTTAAATCATCTTTTCCAAGCCGTTGCACTAATCTTTAGCAAATACTCCTGCAGGGGTCAAATCTAGCTTATTAGCTGTTTTTGAGCTGTATGTAATTAAGATTTCTTAATTTTGTTTCACTTGTCCACAGATTGTACATGAAAAGGAGATTCAGGCGGAAGATGACCAAGTGTTTCTGGTGAAACTGCAGGTCAGGAAACATTTCGGTTGTGTTCTCATTGCCACTTGGTTGGCATCTTGTAGCTCCTCCAACTAAATCTGACTTGAGGGTCCTGATATGTTAATTAGGTACTAATTAGAGTGAGTGTGCATATTGTGCTCTAATTTGCAGTCACTGCTCGCCAAACAGCCCGCTGTGACAGCAGGGCGACCAGTGGTAAGCGGCTGTCTTTATTCTTTTTTTTTTTTTTTTTTAAAGCTGTTAAAATAAAGGGAATCTCCTTCCAGTGTTTGTATTTGTAAAATGAACTGTTTCCACTCACAGGACACCACCAGTAGAGCACCCACCGGTTCCCCCAGGACGAGCAATCGCTCTGCTGCGGCCAACGTAGCGAACGCCATGCCACAGTCAGGTTTGTGATGCGTTAACACAGCTGTAAGTAACCACCCATGTGCCTGGCTCTGTGAGTAAGTTCAACCATTTGCTGTGTGTTCTTTAGGTCAGACCAGTGAGGGCGTGTTGGCCAACTTCTTTAACAGTCTACTGACAAAGAAAGCGGGGACAGGGGGTCCTGGGACGCCAGGAGGCGGTAACAACACGCCAGGAACAGTACGCAAGTCAGGTGAGAATACACGAGTAGACGTTTTAGTTCGTTGTAATGCTCTGCTTTGTATAAAAGAGAAAGTGATAGTTTATTAAAACATTTTTTAGGATGTTTTTGTTGCTGTTTTCAGTCACTCAGCTTCTTTTTGTTTTTTCATCTGCCCTCCTTCATCTCCTCGTCCCCTTCCTCTCCTGCTTTCTCTGTCAGACATGAATATAGCTCATGCAAAAGAGAATGATGAACACCAACTATCATCTTTAAGCATTTTTAGCTCTGTGTGACAGTCTTTTCATTCCAAACTCTGCTCATTGTAGTGTATTGTGTATCGTCACTTTTAACAACATTCATAATGTGTGTATGTGTGTGCAATAGTCAGAGGATGCTGGCCACGTTAAGGTGTGTGAGAGACAGAAACTCCTCACTAATTATTGCTTGCTAATTTCATTGTCCATCCCCATATGCATCCATTTTTTTCTTGACCCCCCCCCCCTCTTTGCTGGGATCATTCTTCCTGTATCACACATTTTCTTCTTGTACAACAAATGCACATGGATTTTATATTGAACGATTCGTTTTTAGGAAAGTCTTTGGTAAACTAAATTGTGGTGTGGGAGATGATCCCAGGGCTTCTGAATTATTTTTGCACAAATGTTTTAATTGTGTTAGGAAAGCAGACCGACACATGATTCAGGGTTCTTCTTTGCTTTTGGAAAAGTTGAATTGCAACAGACATTATTTGTAATGATTTAACATTAGTGGCAAGATCTAGAACTACGTCAAAATCACCAGCTGGCAGGCTAACCTAAGAGCTGCACTCTTTTCTTATAGGAGAAAACAGTGGCAGCCATTACAGTTTAATTTCCGTCTGATTGGTTGATGATATAAATACATTTTCAGCCTCAGTATTTCCTCTTCTTTTACTAGGGATGGGTACAAGCACTCGAGTACTTGTTGTGGATGTCATTAAGCGAGTAACATTTTTTTTTTCCTGTGCACTGGTGTCTGCTAATAACTAAACTGGTGACTGGAGATATGCCCCTATTAAGTTTTGTGGAAAGAGAAGGCTTCTGCGAGCTAATGACGTTTTTCAAGCAGGTGTAAAATCCACTATTGTGGCTAAAAGCTACAAGAGTGGAAAACATGCATGAGGAAAATGCAGCAGAATTGAGTGCTGATTTGCAACGTGTCAATAAAGTGGCTGTTACTACAGACTTATGAACAGATCTCTCCATGGAGTCATATTTTACTTTTAGCTGTTTTGTCCCTGAGTAGCGTAAAGCTCAGTGAATTTCAGTTTAAGTCTGGTAAACACTAAGGTATCCAGGGGACTTTTATTTTGAAGGGTGAAAACAGAAGTGCTGTATAGGAGTTGACCACGATGGCCAAATAATGTCTGAACAGGTCTTGTTCATGGAGATCCTTGTCGTTGTTTTCTTAATATTTAAACAGTTCAGGGGAAACTTAAAACCCTTGGTTCCATTCCCATCACTTGTTATTTCAAGTGGGATTTGAAGTACTGATGAGCAGCACAGAAAACATAGTGGGCTACTGGCAGCAGGTCCATGTCTGACAATTTTTTTTCTGGTAGAACAAGATGATTAGTAAGTACTTGAGTACTGAAACTACTGTAAATGCCCATCCCTACCTTATACCCCTTATTTTATCCATCCTGCTCCTCTGCATATATTTTTTTTTATTTGGCATGTTGCATTGCATTCTCATAACTAACAACAGCCACAAACATTACACATGATTCTAACTAAGGCTGGGCAGTATGGAAAAATACATATCAAATTCTACTGATAGATAAGCCTATATATATATATATATATATATATATATATAAAAAAAACAAAGTTATACCTAATAGGTTAGGAAACAAACAGCAATAGATGACAAGTAATGTCTGTCTTCCAGTTAGTTCAATATGAACTAGTTGAGTAGTAGTTCTTGTAATTTATCACTTTTGTAAAACTACAACATGGAACCTAAAAAATCTTGTTGCTTAAATTGCATGTCTGTCCATTCAAAGATTCACAAAAATGACATGTCACTTTGAGTAGGTCAAATTTAACACTTTGACATGTTAAGTGAGATGTCAGCTAATATGCAACTAAATTGAAATGCATTCAGTATCAACAAAGGTATGTTTGAGCAAAATAATCTTGAAAAGGAAAGGAGGAAAATGGTCACTTTGAATAATCTGAATAACAAATTAATGCCCTCCTACTGAGCAAAGTAAAAGCATGTTGATTATTTTGCAATAATAATACAACAAACATTTTCTAATGTTCAATATTCTCCCAGCTCCTACGCTCAACATGTGTAATTTCTTGTGCAAATTGTATTGTGCATTCTCAATGCTGTGAAAATGTGTGCTTTTGTACAGCACTAGTATAATTTGTGTGTTTACATGTATCTGATGCAGGTTCTAAGCTGGGCCTGGGTGACGTACAGGCAGAGCTAGACCGTATTTCCAGCCGGGAGAGTGACTCGGACTTGCCCAATGCCAACGAGACCCCCGCCACCGACAGCCAGGACACATGAAGACCACACACTTTACCCTGCTCTCCTTCTCTCTCCCTATCCCCTGCCTTTCTCCTCAGTGGTCTTCCCTCACTAACCTCCCTTGTCCTTCCTCAATCCACTCTATCACCAAGATGCCGGGAGAAAGAGAGGTGTTGGGGAAAAGGAGGGTTGGACACACAGATTTACCTCCCTGTCATCTTTCACTTTCAGAAGAACACCCTCTCTCCTCCCCTGACTCCTTCTCCCACACCTCTTTCTCCTTTTCCCTCCTCCCTCTCTTCTCTTCCTGGCTGTTATGCTAAGGGCGAATATTTGTCACTGTTACATACAAGACTGTCTGTTACATGAGGGTAAATGGATATGGGGGACCAATGGGGGTGTGTGTAGAGGAGAGGGCGAGAAGAAGTCAGAGTCGGGGTTGAAGAAAAAAGATTGCAAGGATGAAAGTGTGGGTTTTTCTATCCATCCATTTCTTGTGATGGTGAAGTTAGCGTTTTTACTGTAGGAACAGCTGAAGGGCGCATGTGGAAGAGTCTGTCCTTAGGTACTTTAGGGATGATTGCGTGATTGTGTTTCATGTAAGGTGGGGCAAGTCACGCTTGGCCAGAGGAAGAGATTGAGAACAAAAAAAAAATGCCTGAAACAAAATTGCAAACAGTCTTGTTTTTTAAGATGAAGGGAAAAACATACCAGTATTTGTGTTTGAATGATTGTGTGTGTGTGTGTGTGTGTGTGTGTGTGTGAGAGAGTGAGAGAGAGAGAGAGTGGGTGTTATTAAGTTACTTCAACCTAGCCCTGTGTGTTGAGAGATTTTTGGCTGTTTGCATTTCAACCAAAAGGCAATTACATTACTATGCTCTTACACTACAAGCTCTTACAACGGTGGATACACTATTAATACTGCAGCACTGTCTGCTAGTCTACACAAACCAAACATGACAAGAAAAACGCTTCACACCCAAACACTAGTCCCGTGTAGAAGGCACTTAGGGTACATCATGACACTTGGTTCTACAATTGGCCAAACAGCTGGTGGTACATACCGCTCCAACCTGTAGATAACAGACAGTGCACTAATAAAAGGGAGGGGGAGGGGTAGGTGGGTAGCTGAGCTTTACTTGTACAGAAAGAAGCGCTAGTGATTCAGTTGAATAGTTACTGCAGGCAGGGTGGTGGGTGGGCAAAGGGGTCAGTACAAGGGAGGGTCACACCAAGAATGTACAGTCATTGTCTCGCTGATTGGTCCTGTTATTTCAGAGCTCTGTGTTGGCGTTTGTATAATCAGATCTGTTAATCAGTCAAATAAAAGGTGTATTTATTCGGATTCATCCACATGGTTTTGCTCTATTCGTTTTTTTTTTTTTTTAACTCATCTTCAAACTCTGAATAAAAGATACATGATATTGTTATGAGGAAACCGTGAAGTTTGGCTTTATTAGATAACCAAGACTGTGCCCATGTTGGTAAGCATTCACCTTCAGGAGAAACCTCAGAACATACAATTGTTTTCTTTAAATTAAATGATGGGAAATTATTAAGAAATGTCTAGAAAAAAAATGACAAAGGCTGGGCTAAAACACATAAAAGCAGGTAGATCATAGGCATTTGTGGTATTTGTAAAGAAAGAAGTCTTTCTCAGGCAGAAACAGAAGGCTAATGGTGGACCTTCTCGTAGGACATTTCAATCTGTTCAAGTTATTTCTGTGTTTTTCTCCTTGGAGAAGGCACTATGGCTGCTTCTGTCAAGCAGATTCTTATCTGATTTAATAGTGAATAATTCAGCCAAAAAAATAATATACATGCAGAGAAGGGTCTGAATTTCTTTTAAGTGAATACATCTGCCCATCTGATAATAGGAGAACTTTGCTGATGGCAAACAAATATTTTTTGTGAGGCTACCTTACGCCTCTATCACTGTGGTGACATTTAATGTTTTAGCTTTACATTATTTCATTTCTGGGGTTTTATCTTCCCACACATTTGTAAACAAAGTATTCATGTAATTGCACATTTTAGGCTATATTTCAGAGATTTGATCATAATATAAATAAATATATAGTAATAATAATAACTGGAACATTTTCTATTAGTAAGTTTAATTGGCTATTTCTAGAAAGTATCATGTAACAGAGGTCCACAATGACTTAAGTCTTTGTCCCTCTATAGTACAGAGCAGCCACATGAACATGCATTCTTCTACATCTGATACATTCTCTTTTCATTCAATATCAATAAATCATTTTAATATATAGCCAAAGTAAATCAAATGTTCACTCCAATTGTTGTGGGTTTTTTTTTTTTAACTTGAAGCTGAAGTAGATGCACAAGAACAATTATTTGTTTTGAAGTGAATGTTGGAAATCAGTCTGTTACTGCACAGGGATACTCATTACATTTTTCTATAAGGAAAGCTCACGAATAATTGTCCACATACCAAATGGTTCAAATAACATGTACCAGGGCTTCAAGCCTTATTAAACCAACAAAAGCAGAACAGATATAGCAGTCAGTGTGTCTGACTTAAATGATTTAGTGTTGGATTCAAATCACAGTTATCACAAATGATGCGTTGAGTGTCAACAACTCGGACAAAACAATAAAATACCATTGAAACCAAGTACAGCTCCATGTGACTGTGGACATTGATTGATTTTTTTTCTCCAATTAATCAGTCTTATCTTTGACTGTTTGCTGTTTTTAATTTAGGTGATTAATGAGTTTCAATTGCTTGAAAAATTATATTCAGCCATGATCCACTGTCTCTCATATGGTTTTAACTTGTGGGTCTTGTGTTTTGTTTTTCTACACTTTGTCACTGCAGTTTATCCCAATGAAATTGTGTGGAAGTGTGAATTGTGAAAGACAAAGGTGGTTCTCAAACAAACTCAATTTTAGCCCAAACGAGGCTTGATTTTAAAGATAAATGTTAAGTCATGATGAGGCCTGCTCTGTTTAGGCAAACGCTTGTGTCCCTGAGTAAACTGCATGTTAATGAGTCCCTCTATCATATCTCAGCAGCTCATGAATCACATTCCTCTCTAATGAATGCACCTCGCCCTCCCCGCTACAGCAAGTATCTAACACATTTTAACTACACCAACTGGAACCCCACAAATATAATCGATGGCTGGCCTAAAAAATAATAAATACATTAATATACGGCAATCCATGTAAAACACTGGTTTCGATGTTAAAACTTTATTTAAAATGGCGCCCTATTTTTCCGAGTGCGGCAGAATACTGTATTTTCACCTTCGCCATCTTGGTGTTAGCTCGCACAAGCGGAAGCAACATCTTCGGCGGAGCTACAGCGGGTGTGGTTCGGACTTCTACGGGTGGTTCACCTAGCAGCTCTTTTCCAATTTTCAGCCAAGAGAAAAGAGAAGATTCCCCCTGACAAGAACCACGGAGGAGCCACTCGACTCTGGTAAAAAAAAAATGTGTTTATTATATTAATATACCACGTTTTTTTGCGTGTCAATGTCTGCTTTACCAGAGAAAAATCATCTTTATCTTGGGAGGGGGCTCCGGTGGGGTTTTCTGATTTGGCTGGCAGCACAGCAGGTTTTCGTACGGTGGCTCTTGGATCTACTTTTTTATACGTCCTGGTTAGCCAAGCTAATCAAACCAGACTTGAGCATTTGGAGGGGAAGCTTGAAAGTCACGATTTTCATAATGAACTGATTCGTGACTGCGATTGCTGCTTTATCCCAATTGCGCCACGGCACCCTTGTGACCATTTTAGACACCGTGAGTAAAGCCCGAAATTGAGTTTGTTTATGTTAGCTGGTGAGCTAACTAGCGAAGGTGGGGGTTAGCATGGCACGTTAGGTAAGCTAGCCAACCTGTTAGCTACTGCTGGTGGCTAATATGTGCTTCAAACATTTCTCATAAACGTGTTGTGTGATCTACGTAGGGAGTGTTTGTGGTTTTTTTTTTCTAGTGTTGATTATGCAGCTTGTTACGTTCGCAGTCAGACTTAACATGAGAGGAGGCACCATGGAAGTGATTGCGGGGCGGAGTTCCTCATATTGGAAACCCAAGCTGCGGGGTCGGAACTTGGCCGTGGTAGGGGGAGGGGGAGAAAAATATGCCTTTGATGTTCTTTGCCGCTGAATGGTGAATTGTGTTCACGCTGGCCTGGAAATACCCACCTCTCTGCTCTCTCAGTTGGAGGTGGAGGCTCGGTTTTTCCCCCCTCGTAGCCAAACAAGTGTCTGAATCAGAAGGAGCCTGGCCCAGGTAGAAGACAAACATCTTATCGGAGACCGCGTTGAAGTGTCGTTTTTAACTTCTCGATTTGTTTTGCCTGCGACAAACAAAAACTCAAGGTTGAGTGCGAGTTGTTCATTTTTTTCTCCCCCCCCTCCTCCCCCCCGTGTGATCTTTTTTTCTTCTTCTACACAGACAAATCTGCTGTGCGGGTTGAGGGCAGGCAAGAACAATGGCTACCCAGTGTAAGTATGAAAAACTTTATCTTCTAGATCTCTGCTCAAGGTTATATAAAGACGATCATTAACTAGCATGCAGAAGAGATTCTTTGAATACAGATGTGTGAGATTACAAAGGCCTTGTTAGACGCTGTCGAAATTAGGAAAATGGAAGCCAGGTGAGCACATGGTATCAGGAGTAGTTATAAATCCACCTCTGTAACATTTGAGTTTCTCATCAGAATGAAAACGTGGAAGGTAGAAATGATTACTAAACATTATGTTGAAAGTAATTTGAACCTTACAAATCTCTGATAATTATCTTGGCTTGATAAATTAAGCTGGAGTGAGTAAAAGTGTTTTCCTTTTTGCTTCCTTTGTGTAGCTGATTTGATGGAGCTGGACATGGCAATGGGGGACAGCAAGATTGCAGTGAGCCAGTGGCAGCAGCAGTCTTACCTGGATTCAGGCATCCAGTCTGGAGTCACCACCACAGCACCATCTCTGAGCGGCAAGGGGAACCCTGATGTTGAGGATGATGACCCAGCCCTGTACGATTGGGAGTTCAACCAGCCCTTCACTCCTGAGCCTACAGGTTTATAAAAATGCTGAAACGCATCCTCGTATCTGCAGCATTGTTATAGCAACTTCTGAATAAATGTAATATCTGTGGCAAATGTTTGTTATCTCGTGGTGTTGCAGACATTGAGGGATATGCCATGACCCGTGCCCAACGTGTGCGTGCTGCCATGTTCCCTGAAACCTTGGAGGAGGGTATCCAGATCCCACCCACACAGCTGGATGCCACCCACCCAACAGCGGTGCAGCGGCTGGCAGAGCCCTCTCAGATGCTGAAGCATGCAGTGGTCAACCTCATTAACTATCAAGATGACGCTGAGCTGGCAACTCGTGCCATTCCTGAGCTCACCAAACTGCTCAACGACGAGGACCAGGTTTGTAAACGAATGAATGATGTGTGAACTCCAAATGACATCTAAGTGTAACTGTTGCGTAATTCAACACAGTTTCATGTAAAGAAAGCGGCTTACACTGATTTCTAAACTGCGTTTGTAACAAATGTTGTCTCCGTCTTAGGTTGTTGTGAACAAAGCAGCTGTAATGGTGCATCAGCTGTCAAAGAAGGAGGCATCGCGCCACGCTCTGATGCGCTCCCCGCAGATGGTTTCGGCGGTTGTTCGTGCCATGCAGAACACTGGTGATGTAGAGACGGCTCGCTGCTCTGCTGGCACCTTGCACAACCTCTCCCATCATCGTGAGGGGCTCCTCGCAATCTTCAAGTCTGGAGGCATCCCTGCCCTGGTCAAGATGCTGGGGTGAGAAACTGTAGATCTTGTGGATGTTTTACTGTATGTGTGATGAGTTTATTTGTGTGCCCACATCCAGTTGGGGATTTCTTGACATTTCACTACAGCTCAAATTAGTTTAGTTTGACAATACTGCAGTCTATCAATACTAGAAGATCACACGATGAGTCCTAATACCACTAACAGCCTTTCTCTATTTCATCCTGCTAATTTGCCAGACATGGTGGTGTTTGACTTGCATATATCCAGTAAGCTTTAATCAGAGGCATATTTCAACTATCTAATATTCATTTGAGAGTCTTAGACTCTCCCACAACCCATCTCTGTCCAGTTCTCTTTCACTATGTTATGGGTTTATAAAAACAATTAAGCAAATAATGAGTCATCTGTCAATAAAGGCCAACAATGTTTCTGGTCAAAAGAAAAGATGGTAGCAGTTTGTGGTAAAACTGAACCACGGCCTGACAGTCGCAACAAATCAGCAACATTAGACTACCAGTGTTTTAAGGACTTTTCCCTTTGCTGCAGGAAAATAAAAAAAACATGTCTATTATCTGAAATAACCACCTCTGTCTGT